CTAAGAAGATCCGCCGACCAACAGAGCTCGACGTCATCAACAAACTCAGCACGCCAAGCGACGTCGAGGAGGGAGAAGTAGCGGTGCTGAGTGTGGAGCCGCCCGCAAGTCTGACCAGCACGGTCACCCGTGCGAATGACATACGGGCAACTACCCCCAGACGCCCCACGCAGAAACCACTCACGAAGCTGCTGGGGAGACGGGGTCTCGCTCCGACGCTGCTGCTGCTGACGCTGGCCACCCCCAGAACTGACACACCGAGCGCCAGTCCCACCGCTACCAGTCCCACTGCCTCCACTGCCGCCACTCGCACCGCTGCCTCCACCACCGCCACCAGAGCCCCCACTCCCGCCAACAGTCCCACCGCCGCCACCACCTCCACTGCTACCCCCACCACCACTCCCGCTGCCACCTCCACCACCGCCGCTGCCACCTCCACCACCCCGGCCACCCTTCCCCTTGCTGCTGCGGCGCTTCGCACTAGCAGAAGCAGCCCCGACGTCCTCAGGAACAGAGACGTCTTCAGCAGCAGCAGAGGCGTAGGAGGGGGCAAGGGGGGAGGGGGAACACCCCTCAAAGAAGGGCGGGCGCGGAGTGCCACGAGCAGCACCTACAGCAACTGCACTAGTCTCAACTGCGAGGAGATGCTACTCGAGGAGGTCAACAGTGAGGGAGGTGGGGTCAAGAGAGAGGAAGTGGTCCCTGACAGAGCGAAGAGAGTCAGGGAGGCGGGTGACTATAAAGTAGAGAGTGATGTACATCGGGGGCGGGTTCCTGTCAAGGAACTCAGCAGGAACGGCAGCACGGTAGCGAGCGTCACTAGCGCGAAGGTGGGAAACAAGATCCTCGACTATGGTAAAGGCGGACAGCTTGGGGAACAGGTAGGACAGAAGAAGGCGGCCTAGAGTAGCAGAGGCAGGGGAGGAGTAGCGAGCGACTACCGCGTCGTACAGTGCTTGCGCTGTCTTGTGTTGTCCGAAGTGAGCACATTCAGCTAATGGCAGGTGGTTGCGAATGGCTAAGCGGGCAGCAGCGTCACGAGTAAGCCGCTGTGAGCGAGTCAAACTGTCAGCTGTGGCGGGAGGGGCAGTAGCAGCGCCTGACACTAGGTCAAACAGCGAGACACTGTCCTTAGAATCGCTCAGTAGGTAAAGCTGCAGGTCGTCTAGCCACGTGTCAAACTGAACTGGTCTGCCCTCATGATCAAACGCGAGAACCCGAAGCGAAGCCATGGCTGTGCAGCACGCAGGATAGCAGTAGCAGCAGTAACAGCAGCAGTAGCAGCAGCAGCAGCAGCTGTAGCAGTAGCAGCAGTGACAGTGGGGCAAGGGGCCGACGGGGCCGGGCGCGGGCTAGGGACGGGGCCGGGCGCGGGCTAGGGACGGGGCCGGGCGCGGGCTAGGGGTCGTCGTGGGGGGGCCGGGCGCGGGCTAGGGACGGGGCCAGGCGCGGGCAAGGTACGGGGCCGGGCGCGGGCTAGGTACGGGGCCGGGCGCTGGGCTTGGTACGGGGCTGGGCGCTGGGCTAGGGACGGGGCCGGGCGCTGGGCAGGTACGGGGTCGGACGCTAGGCTAGGGACGGGGCCGGGCGCTGGGCAGGTACGGGGCCGGGCGTTGGGCACGGAACGGGGCCGGGCGCGGGGCTAGGTACGGGGCCAGGCGCGGGCTAGGTGCGGGGCCGGGCGCGGGCTAGGTACGGGGCCGGCCGCGGGGCTAGGTACGGGGCCGGGCGCGGGCTAGGTGCTGGGCCGGGCGTGGGCTAGGTACGGGGCCGGGCGCAGGACTAGGGACGAGGCCGGGCGCTGGGCAGGTACGGGGCCGGGCGCTGGGTACGGAACCGGGCCGGGCGCGAGGCTAGGTACGGGGCCGGGCGCGGGCTAGGGACAGGGCCGGGCGCGGGCTAGGTACAGGGCCGGGCGCGGGCTAGGTACGGGGCCGGGGGCGGGCTAGGGACGGGGCCGGGCGCTGGCTAGGTACGGGGCCAGGCGCGGGCTAGGTACGGGGCTGGGCGCGGGCTAGGGACGGGGCCGGGCGCGGGCTAGGTACGGGGCCGGGCGCGGGCTAGGGATGGGGCCGGGCGCGGGCTAGGTACGAGGCTGGGCGCGGGGCTAAGGGCCGACGGGGCCGGGCGCGGGCTAGGGACGGGGCCGGGCGCGGGCTAGGAACGGGGCCGGGCGCAGGCTAGGGACGGGGCCGGGCGCTGGGCAGGGAGGGGGCCGGGCGCGGGCTAGGTACGAGGCCGGGCGCGGAGCTAAGGGCCGATGGGGCAGGCGCGGGCTAGGGACAGGGCCGGGCGCGGGCTAGGAACGGGGCCGGGCGCGGGCTAGGGACGGGGCCGGGCGCTGGGGTCGACGGGCCGCGGGCTAGGGGTCGACGGGCCGCGTAGGCTAGGAGCGACGGGCCGGGCGTGCGTAGGTTAGGGTCGACGGGCCGGGCGCGTAGGCTAGGGTCGACGGGCCTAGGGGCGACGGGCCTAGGGGGGGTTACTAGCAGCGTAGCAGGTGGTGGGCCCAAGGAACCTGCTCTGATTCCATGTCAAAGTAACGAACGAGAATGGATGAACTAGCAAACAGTTGGGTACAAGTACTAACCCTAATTGGGTTGTACCCCTTATGGGCTACCCCACTACAGCCTACACAAATGTATAAGCTATAATGTTCTGACAATAGGTGCCGCAGCGGCAAGGGCAAGGGGGGTAAGGGAGGTGGGGGTGGCGCTAGCGGTGGTGGTAGCGGGGGGGGGTGGTGGCGGGGGTGGAGGCGGTGGAGGTGGTACCGGAGGTGGAGGCGGTGGAGGTGGCGGGGGCGGTGGAGGTGGCGGGGGCGGTGGAGGTGGCCGGGGTGGTGGAGGCGGGCGGGGTGGAGCTGGCAGGGGTGGAGGCTCTTGGGGCGCAGCTCGTGGCGGCGGAGGCTATGGGAGTGGACCGCCGCTGCCACACCTCTCGGACACACCCACCCCTCAGCAGCTTCGTGAGTGGGTTGTCCAGCGTGGTTTCCCGGCGGGCTCTGGTCGCTGCACGTATGTCAGGCACACGGGGCTCAAGAAGGGTCAGACCTGCAGGAACCCTGGGCACACTGAGTATCGCTGCTTCGGTCGTCTTGAGGATGCCTAGGTGGCTGAGTATGGTGATGAGCAGGAGGTCCCCAACTAGCTGGGATTGACAGCGAAGGGAGTAGATGTGTTTGCTCTTGACTTTGCTGCTATCAACAAGGGAATCTATGCTATGTATGTTGTTGTTATTAGTGCTGAGGTTGCCTGTTACTGACGTGTGCCTTCGTTGCTAGTGAGTTTGCTGCCGCTCTAGGTGCTAGTGCGTCTGCTGCCACAGGTGCTAGTGAGTCTGCGACCACTCTAGGTGCTAGTGCGTCTGCTGCCATAGGTGCTAGTGAGTCTGTTGCCTCAGCTGAGGCTTGCACACTTTCACACTTGACACTGGTGCATCTCGTTGCTTCTTTCGTAATTGCACCACAGTCACACCGCTCGCTGCACCAGTCCCGGTCTCGCTGGCTGACCCCTCTGGGGGCCTCGTCGTTGCACGAGCCTCCTCTGTCCTCCCGTGTCTGGCAGTCCCCTCCGGCTCTCTTTCAGGTCTCCACCTCCCCTCGTTCTCGACGAACTTGGTGAGCAACGCAGTCCTTTAGGATATATGGGCTGATAGCTTTACTAATGGAGGGCAGCGTGTGGCGATCTGTACGTGCTCACGGACTGGCCGTCACCTTGCTACGTTCACTTGGCAGCCTGGGTCTAGTCTGTACACCTTGACCACTGCGTCTGCACAGGTGGCTGCGTCAGGTCAGGTGGCTACTGCTCCTCTGATCATTGCTCCTCTGCAGACTCTCCACATGGACGTGTGGGGCCCGGCCCCCGTCCATGGGACGGACCAGGAGCGCTACTTCCTGCTGGTCGTTGATGACTACACGCGCTACACCACGGTCTTCCCCTTGCGCAGCAAGGCAGGCGTCAGCGGTGTTTTGATCCCCTGGATCCGCACTACTCGTCACTACGCGTCGGCGGGACCTTCCAATCCTGCGTCTGCACTCTGACAGGGGCGGTGAGTTCTCTTCCGGCCTCCTTGCAGAGTTTTGTCAAGACGAGGGCATCGTCCAGTCGTTCACGCTTCCGGCCTCTCCGCAGCAAAATGGGATTGCTGAACGTCGCATTGGCTTGATCATGGAGGTTGCTCGTACCTCCATGATCCATGCGGCTGCTCCCCATTTTCTTTGGCCGTTTGCGGTCCGATACGCCGTGCATCAGCTCAACCTCTGGCCCCATGTCTCTTTGCCAGAGATGTCGCCGACACTCCGTTGGACGGGAGAGGTTGGCGATGCGTCAGCATTTCGGGTCTGAAGCGCGCTCTCCCTTGTTCGCGATACCACCGCGAGCAAGCTCCCTCCTCGCACTCTCCACTACGCCTTCCTGGGGTTCCCCACCGACGCCCCGCCGTGGCAGTTTTACCACCCTTGCTCGCGCCGAGTCCTGTCCTCCCATGACGTCACCTTTGACGAGTCTGTCTGATTCTACGGGCTCCACCCGCACGCGTCCCACCCGGTCCCGTTGGCACCTCTCTTCCTGGTACCAGTTCCCCCCCCGGTAGACCCCCTCCCCCCACAAGGTCCTGCTCCCTCAGGTGTGTCTCAGGTAGACCCACCCCTCCTGGTTGAGCCTTTGGTGAGATCCTCTGACACCTCTGGCCCAGGTGAGGGGGGTGACCAAGCTGCTGACGACACGGCAACCACTCGTCGCTCTCCACGCTTGGAGACCCCTCCTCGGTTTCCGCCTCGACCGTCTTCGCCGCCTCTGCAGCCTGTAGCTGTAGACACTGGTGCTGCTGGGAGTGGTGACACTGGGTTTGAGGACGCAGGAGGTGCTGGTCCTAGGGGTGCTGAGACAGGGGGTGCTGAGACTGGGGTTGCTGGTCCTGGGGTGCTAAGACTGGGGGTGAGGGTTCTGGGGGTGCTGCGAGTCCTAGCGGTGGTGGGGCCGTGGGTGCTCCTGCTGCAGGTCCTTGCATTGGACAGCAGCAGCCGCTTAGTCGACTCGAGACGCCTTCCCCGCAGCAGCTTCGTGAGTGGGTCTTTCGGCGAGGCCGCTTTGGTGCTAGAGCTTGGCGTTTTACAGCTCCTCAAGCTGCTACTACTGGGGGTGCTGGGGGTGCTGGTGCTGCTGGAGCCGGAGGTACTGGAGGTCCTAGAGGTGCTGGGGCTGCTGGTCCTGGAGGTGCTCGTACTAGAGGTGCTGGAGCTGCCGGAGCTGGTGGTGCTGCTGGTGCTAGAGGTGCTGGAGGTGCTACTGGAGGTGCTGGGGGTACTGGAGCTGCTGGTACTGGAGGTGCTGGTGCTGGAGGTGCTGGAGATGCTGCTGGTGCTGGAGGTGCTGGAGCTGGAGGTACTAGAGGTGCTGGAGCTTCTGGTCCTGGAGGTGCTCGTACTAGAGGTGCTGGAGTTGCCAGGGCTGGTGGTTCTGCTGGTGCTGGAGGTGCTACTGGAGGTGCTAGGGGTGCTAGAGCTGCTGAAACTGGAGGTGCTGGTGCTGCTGGTGCTGGAGGGTACTGGAGGTGCTGCCGGAGCTGGAGGTGCTGGTACTGGAGGTGCTGAAGGGGCTGCTCGTGCTGGAGGTGCTGGAGGTGCTGCTGGTGCTGGAGGCGCTGGAGCTGGAGGTACTTGAGATACTGGAGGTACTGGAGGTACTGGAGCTGCTGACGGTACGGGTACTGCGCCGCGCCAACTGTTTTTCTACCCGCAGCCTCAGTCGTCCCTGCCACCGCCTAACTCAGCCCTTTGCCAGGTTCTTTGTCTCCCGTCTTCCACTGGCCTCACTCCACCTCTCCTGTGTCCACCGACAAACCAGTCTCAGCCACAGCTTCTGCCTGGCTCCCCGCTGCCTGCTCCTGCTCCTCACACTGAGGTGATTGAGTCCCTGACTGAGCGTTGTGAGCCTGAGACTCGTGCTTCCACACCTGTTCGTGCTCGCCATGTTGCCCGTCCTCGTCCTCCTGCTATCCTAGGCACTCACGTTATGGTACTTCGTCCTTCCTCTGTTCCACAGCGTGTTGCCCTGGCGTCTCCTTCGGCATCCTCTCTTCCTGACGTTCCTAACACTGACCTAGACCTGGCTCGTGATGCCAGTCCTACTATCACTCGTCTCCTCGCGACTGTCGTCAATGACCCTGACTTTGAGTCTACTGCTGCGTTTGCCCTAGTCACTAAGCTAGTCGACTTTGCAGCTAGGAGTCGTCTCGACTACGTCGCGAGTCTTGATACTGAGTCTGAGTCTGTCTGTCCTCCGTCCATCAGGGGTGAGCCTGCCCTTAGCAGTGACGTCCTTGAGGACAGGCAGTTTGAGCTTGAGTGTCTTGCGGTCACTTTACCTCGTTTTGCATCCATGCTGCTTTGCCCTGAGGGAGACCCGGATGCACTTGACACCCCTACCGCGCGCTCTTACGCTGAGCCGATCGCGGGTAAGTACTCCTTTCAGTGGCAGATAACCATGGACGCAGAGATGGCTTCCTGGAAGTCCACAAGCACGTACGTCGACGAGGTTCCTCCTCCTGGGGAGAACATAGTTGATGGCATGTGGATTTTCGGGGTGAAGCGGCCGCCGGGTTCTCCGCCTTCCTTCAAGGTGCATTACGTTGCTCGAGGCTTCAGTCAGCGACAGGGGGTCGACTTCTTCTAGACCTTCTCCCCCACCCCGAAGATGACTACTCTTCGGGTGTTGCTGCACGTTGCAGCACAGCGTGACTACGAGCTGCACTCCCTCGACTTCTCCACAGCTTTCCTACAGGGCAGCCTTCACGAGGAGATCTAGCTGCGCTGCCCACATGGCTTCACAGGGTCGTTTCATGCGGGTATCCAGTGGAGCCTTTGACGGCCATTCTACGGTCTCCGCCAGGCGCCCCGCGCGTGGCACGACAAACTCAGGACTACACTTGCGGCTCTTGGGTTTGCTCCTTCCTCTGCTGACCCGTCGCTGTTTCTGCGCACTGACACTTCTCTGCCGCCGTTCTACGTTCTCTTATACGTCGACGACTTGGTTTTTTCCACTGCTGACACTGATTTGCTGGCCCTAGTGAAGGAGAAGTTGCAGGAGAGACACACCTGCATTGACGTGGGTGAGCTGTGGAGCTATCTTGGCTTGCAGATCACCCGGGAAAGAGCACGGCGCACCATCACCCTGACTCAGTCACACATGGTGCACCAGGTCCTTCAGCGCTTCGGCTTCCAGTGTTCCTCGCTACAGCGCACTCCTCTGCATACTGGCCACTCGCTCTCAGCTCCACCTTCGGACAAGTCAGTAGAGCCGAGTGGTCCGTATCCAGATGCTGTGGGTTGCCTCATGTACATGATGACGTGCACACGACCTGACCTTGCGTACCCTCTCAGCCTCCTGGCTCACCACGTGGCTCCCGGTAGACACCGAAAGGTGCACTGGGATGTTGCGAAGAGGGTACTGCGTTACTTGTGCAGTACATCAGGAATGGGGCTCGTGCTTGGAGGACGGGGTTCAGTGGTACTCACAGGACACTCCGACGCTTCTTGGGCTGACGACCAGGCGACTCAGCGTTCGTCATAGGGTTAGACCTTCAGTCTTGGCTCTGGTTCTGTCTTGTGGAGGTCCACTCGTTCTTCTTCTGTGCTTGGTTCCAGTTGTGAGGCCGAGATCTACACTGGGGCTATGGCTGCACAGTAGCTACGCTGGCTGACCTACCTGCTGACCGAGCTGGGGGAGCGGCCTCGTTCTCCTCTAGTTCTGTACGTTGCCAACAAGGCCATGCTTGCCTTGTGTCATGAGCAGAGACTAGAGCACAGAACGAAGCACATTGCTTTTTGCTACTTTCTTGCTCGAGAGCTGCAGCAGCGTGGTCAGCTTCGCCTTTCCTACTTGGCCTTTCGGGCCAACACTGCTGATGTCTTCACCAAGGCCCTCGGGTCTGGTGATCATCAGCGTTTTTGCACTGCTCTTGGGCTTGGGCCCGTTCTGCCTCACCTGCTTGTCTCTTGACCTTGCACTTGTTGTAAACTGATATCTATATTTATACCTGGATGTTTCCTCTTGCCAGGTTGTGATCAGTGTACTGCCTTGCTATTATAACTCTGCATGTGAATTGGCTTTGTGGCCGCTTGCTTGTGCTCAGAATGAGTGGTGATTTTGAGATTAACCCTGGGCTTTGCATTGCTTTGTTCTCTCGCCTAACTAGTCTTGTGACCGTTTGTTGTGATGGCCATCCTTCACTTTGCCTAGGGGGGTGTGTCAAAACATATTTGTTATTCTTAGTTCTACTAGGCTACAGTGTGGTGCTCAGTATAGAGTACAACCCTTGTTAGGGTTTCATACTTGTATCTCCCTATTGCGAGTCATTCATCATTCCTGATTTTTGGCTGCCGCTACTGAGTGCCCTGGTAAGAAGTTGTGCTGAGAGTTGGAAAAGTGTTCGCCAGACACAAGCTGAATGCTGAAACGTGGCATCGATGAGAATGACATGTTCCGACGAACACTCACGGTTGAGGTGATTGACTGCCTCCTCTACAGGCTCACCATAAGTTCCACCGGTAAAAGCAGTTCAAGAAGTACACGCTTGACAATTCCCTAAGTATACATGTTTTTAAAGGAGTTTCAAAACCTTTGAAATTTGAAAGGCTGGTTTCCTTGTTACAAACCATTTCCCTCGGCTAACAAGGTACGGTCCCTCCCTTAACACTCACATTGATGGTGTTTCAAATGTTTTGAAACAAAAAAAAAGTGTATTCATTGCCGTGTTCCCGCCTCTTCGCGCCACGCGCAACATGGTATACTGTAGGTAAACATGTCATAATTCCAGCCATTAGACCAGGGCTCTTGCTAACTTTTAGGCCCGTCTGACGTTTTCCAAGAAAAAAAATAATCGTCTGGCCCTCATATGGAGGATTCCTGGTGGTCTTTGCCTCAGACGGATTTTATAAGTTAGTATGTCGGCTCAGACAGATTTTCACGAAATCAGACATTTATTTAGTTATATAGTCTACACACAGACTACACTCTACTCTACTCTATTACTACAGTTAACCATACATTCATATTGAACTAGGATTAACTATCGCTATCATGAGAAGAATATTCCTCGTCGTCCCCGTCTAGCTCTGAATCTGAAGCAATGTGCTCTTTGCCATGGTCTGCCCGTCTCTGCCAGGGGCCCAACTCCTCCTCTAGCCTGGCTGCTTCTTCTGCAGCTGCTGCTTCACGAGCAGCAGCCTCTGCTGCTGCTGCTGCTGCTGTTGCTGCCGCCTGCTTCGCGGCCAGCATCGCAAGGGTCTTCCTCGTGCGCTTCACAGGCCTTTGTGCATGCACCATCACCACATCCTTGGCTGGGCGTCTCTTCTTCGCACCTCTCCACAACTCTACAAGGGCGGGCCAGTCAGGTTTGTACTTCAGCATGGAGATGGTCATCAGGTCGCCAAGCTTCGCATCGTTGAGATTGCCGCGTAGCCAGCTCTTGATGACGTTATGGCGGGAGAAGCCCCGCTCGCACTCCACGGTGCTCAGGGGCAGCACTGCGACCGCCATCCAAAGGCGGACCAGGTTGGGGTAGGCCGTGCACCAATCGGGCGAGCTGAGCATCTGCTTCAGGCCGTCCTGGAAGCTCAGCTCCCGGTGATGGGTCGACATGATCGTGGTGAAACTGCTGATCTCCTTCTGTGCTCTCGTCCAGTTGATTCCTGGTGGCGGGGTGTGAATCAGAAACCAGTTTAATGAGAATACGAGCTGTTTAGTAAAGTACACAAACTCATACAACCAACAAAGCATAACGTGACACAAACATAGAAAACTCAATCAATGACAACCGAAATCGAAGACGTACCAGGCAGGGTGTCAGGGTCGGACGGTTTCCGCTTAAACAGATTGCGGAGAGCCTTCAGCCATTGCAAAAACCGACGCTGCCGCTTCGAGTGAGATTTCGGGTACGCCCCCTGCGTGAACAGCTTGGCGCCGTCGAGAGAGCCCAGATCCTTCATCCGGCTCTCCAGTCGCTTCAGCAGCTCCTTCACGTACCCCTTCGCCAGTGTGATGCAGTCGTCCAGGTCCGGGCCAGATTTCTGACCCTTGATGTTCTGTTCATGGAGGGTGTACTCATGAGTAGTTGGGGCGCCAGTCGAGTCGGTGCCCATCACCTTCACTTCCCTTTTTTCCGACGAGGCGTGCTTCGACAAGAAGGCGCTCAGCTCGTTGCTCCCATTGCCGAAGTCGTCCGCGTCACTCGGGTAACGGTTGCGAAGGGTGAGCCTAGTGTTTGTCCACCATCTGCAGCACGTGTGTCACGTCGACCTGCCACACACACATGAGAGGCAGTGGAAAGGCACGCACGGGTAAATATCTCATTAATATGATTCATTAACACTAAAAACAGTTAATAGCAAGAGGTGTAACAGCGTACCTGCCGTCGATGGAACTTGAGGTTCAGTGCGTTGAGTTCCTTCAACACATCAGCAAAAAAAAACAGCATGAAATGGAATTTCAAACTGGTTACAAGGAGGTACGCCTTAGGGTCGTTCTCGTACAACAGAATGACAGCAGCTGGAAGGTTGTCAGCCAGTCGCTGAACCGCCAGACCACGTGAAAGCCACCTGACGCTGTGGATGCCCTGCAACTCCAGGTTCGTTTCACACAGCACCTCTTGCAGCTCTTCGAAG